TCTCTCTCTCTCTGAGCCTCTCTCTCTTCTCCCGCGAGGGTCGCGGGTGCCACGATACGTTCGCTCACGTGCGGACCCACGAGAGTTGTTGTTTTTGTTTTTGTTGTCTTGTCTCGTGCAGACGTGCGAGCTGCTAGCTGCTCCTCCATGGATTGATCACTAACCACCATGGGTCGATAGAGAGGCAGGCACTGTTAATTTCACACGAGCGTCATTCTGCATTGGAAGCCCACTGTCGGTGCGGCTACGGCAATGAAATTAATCATACCGTCAATTCATCTTTGTTTTTTTGTGTGTGTGGTTAGCCAACTCTATTTTTGTTTTTATCGCTTTTTCACAATGCTGCACAAGCTGCACGAGCTGGTGGCGCATCCCGTGAAGTAGGCCGTCGGTCCGTGCCGCTGCAGCCGTGCGCGGCGAGCTGCCTACCCTGGGCCCGACAGGCGCCTTACCCGAGGGGTCATTTACTAGAAATTCAAGCATACACTGTTTCTGCTTAACTTTTTCTGATTTTTTTTTATGTTTGTTGTTCTGATCATCTCCGTTTTTTTCGAGCTTTCCGACTGTCTCTGTTTTTTTCCAAATTTTCCTTGATTTTTCTTGATTCTTTTCTTCACGTTTTCTTGTTTTTCCCCCATTTTTCCCGTCTTTTTTTGGAGGGTGTACATAATTTAAAAAAGAAATAAATTGCAGTAGTTTTTATACCTCATTCCCTGCTCGTCCTTGCCCGCAGCCTCGCTGATGATGCTCGTGGTGCCGGTGGGCGAGGCCGTGGCCGTGCTCTTCATGGAGAAGTGGGGCCGGGTGCGCGCGCTGCAGCTCGCCCTCGTGCCCTTCTGCGTGGGCTCCATCGTCATCGCCCTCGCCGACTCCTTCAGCCTCATCCTGGTGGGCAAGGTGCTGGTCGGCGTGTCCCTGGGTGAGTACCCAACCCACCCCCTTGGGCTGACCGCCGGTGGGCCGCAGCGGAGGAGGCCGTGTTGTGCCTTCTGGGGCGTAGCGTGGCGTGGCGGGGCGTGGCGAGGCGTGGCGAGGCGAGGCGTGGCGTGGCGGGGCGGGGCGTGACCTCTGGAGCCGTATATTTATATAGCATCTTTGACGATGAAAATGAGTAAAGGCCCGGAGAGAAGGGCGCTCTCCCTTCTCTACTCCTCCCTCCATAGCGAGCCAGAAGTGTCCTTTTCGCTCATCCATATCGCGATATCCCAATAATAATTCCGATATGAAAAGGTGAGTCAACCGGACTGCGAGCCTAAATGCTCACGAATCGAGCGGCGCGCGGTCCACGGGTAAATGATACAAAAACAGCGACAGCCTCAGCCTCATTCGGTATTCACGGGTGAACGAACTCGGAATGCAGCCAATAAGACCCCAGGGGGCCGGAGGCCCGGGAGGCCTCCAGGCCCGGCGGCAGGCCGCTGCCGTCAGAGAAATATCCCAAATATTGTTCTGCTTAGCAGTAAAGGCGAGGCCGCCGCAAAGAGTGAGACGTCGGCAAGACTAATTTGCCGTTTTTCAAAGGGGCACCTTGCTTGTTCGGCGTGCTCGCTGGCACGAGCAAGGGTCAATCTCAAACGCTCCGTGCGGCGCCAAATGAAACAAATTCCGACTCCCCGCCTTGTAGGGAGCACCAGCAGGAATCTTAGCAGAAGAAGCAACATACCGACGGCTATTTTGAAACGCAATGTGTGTGGAACCTGGACGTTCCACACAGCACACAGTATGTTTCGCATAGGGAGGGGTGGGGGGTGGTTGGTACCGTACTTTCTAGGGCGTTCTTTCGTGTAGCGCGGAGTACGGCTCCGCGCTCGGGCTAATCAGTCGCGAATGTGTACCCTATCCGCCTCGCAGCTTCCAGCGGGAAGGAGGCGTCCAGCCGTTGACCATCACAATGCTGACATCCGGTGCCGTGGCGTTGGCGTTGGCGTCGGCGTGTCGCGAGTGTGTGCGTGTCTGTGTGTGCCTGTGCGTGTCTGTGTGTGTGTGTGTGGCTGGGTCTCTGCAGCCACCTGCCCATTATGTCTGCTCGCTTCTTCTTCTCTTCCTCCTCGCCTGATGTGTCCGCGCGCGCCCGGCGCCGGCGCCACTCGGTGCGAGAGAGAGGGGTTTTCTCGGAAAAACGGCGCGAAAAAGGCTCGCGCGCTCGGCACGACGAAGAGCACACCTCGCGCCACCTGTATCACGTTTGCCACATCAGAGTGAGAGAAATAAAGGGAGAGAGAGGAGGGGGGGGGGTAATCAACACAATGTCGCCACAATGTTTATCCCATCTCCAGCTCGCGCGTCACCGGACTGGCCCGGTCGGGGTCAGCCGGCTGGGTCGGGTTGAGGTTTGGGGTACCCCCCCCCCTAACCCCTTGGCCCTCCCCCAACCGCTTTCGGTAACGGGTCAGGATAAGTCACAACACATCCCCCCCCTCGCGAGCGCGGTGGTAAACCCATACGACTGACTCGCGTGCTTTGTCGTTTTGTCGGGAGCAGCTTTCATGGCGTAACTGAAGTGCGCGAGGGCTAACCTTTCGCATGCGTTTGACGTCATCTTCGACTCAGATGACCTTTTTGATATGCAGGGTGTCACATAGGCCCCCCACGCGTTTATTTTAGTTGTACTGAAACCTTTACCAACCTTACGCAAGGCGTTCGGCTGTGCGGCGTGCCGTCAGTAAACGTAGTTTATAGTGCGTTAAGAGGATCGTCCAGAAAGTACGGTCGTTTCGTTTTCTCAGATTCATTACTTGGCAAAATGCGAGAGCTTGGCGCCTGCGAGGCTCAGGGTAGGCCACCCCGCAGTGCGCGCACACACTGCAAGCGAATGATTTGCCTACCTATCAGGCGCTTTGAAAGCTTGCAGAGGCTAAACTTGGCACTCAACCCGTAATATGTTGATGTTTCGTTTCAGTTGCTTTACTTGTAATGTGTATTTTCACTTGACCTCGACTAATGTTCTCTTGCAACCCCTGTTTGTGCAGCGGTGGGCACGAGTCCAGCCTCCATCTACGTGACGGAGGTGGCGCGGCCGGACCTGCGGGGCGCGCTCATCACGGCAGGGCCACTCATCGGAGCAGCAGGTGAGTCAGAGAGAAAGAGAGAGAAACAGAGAGACAGAGAGAGAGAGAGATAGTCTCGGGAGACAAGCACGCCAGGGTCCAACCTGCCACAGGGTGTGTGGGAGAGAGAGTGGTAGTTAGGGAAATAGTGTCTCACCAGCGCAATTAACATGTGATTTGGAGTATAATGAAGTGATTGTGGAGTGAGCGACTGTGAGCAGTCGATAGGAAAACGGGCGTGAGTAAGAGAGATGGAGTAATTAGTGAGCGATGGAGTCAACAACAAAGATCGGGAGTCATGAGCGAGTGAGAGAGATCGAGAGTCAGGGCGAACCGTGGGTCGCTGTCGAGCCCCTTTCACCTCTGAATTTACAGCCATCTGCGTGTGGGCGTAGGGGGTGAGGGTGTGGGTGTCCTGGAAAGGGGGAAGGGGTGGCGGTGGCGGGCGGGCCGTTCTTGGGAGCCCTACGAGGGCACATAGGGGTGCTGGTATTGTCCCTTTGTCGTCGACTCTGAACTCTCCTCGCCCTGCAGGAGTTAGGCGGCCCCATGGCGGCGGCGGCGGCGGCGACGCCAGCGACCCCCCTGACGTCATAAGACCCTCCAACCACCTCAGAAGATAATCAGCTGCGCATGGCGAGAGCATCAGCAGGGATCCGCACACGCGCGGGCAAGAACACAGTCCTGAGTCCCCGGCGGGCGGGGCGGGGCGGGGGTGGATGTGCTGAAGGGGCTGCTGCTGCGGCTGGAGGCAGACAAAGCCGGCCTGGTATCGTGACGCGGGTCGGCCCGGGCCCGTCCAGCAGCAGCACCCCGACGACGCGGTCCTCGCCGCCAGCTCCCACGTGACCTTGGCGGCTGGTTGAGGCAGAGCCGACGTAATCAGCCAGGTTGCAGCGCGGGGCGGGGCGGGGCGCGCTCGCTGTGTGTTTCACTGGAAGTCAGGACAAGTGAATGAACAGCCCGGGAACAGCCCGGTGGGGCAGCCTGGCGCACAGCGGCGCGCGGCGCGGAGCGATCGGTCGCGGAATGGGCCATTAAAATTCAGCGCGCGGGACACGGTCGGGCAAATCAGAGCCAACACGAGCGTGGCGCGGCGTGGCGCGCGGCGTGCGATGTTGGCGGCCCATTCGAACTCCACGCGCGGCGCGCGTCGTCGACTCCCGGGCCCGGGGACGATAAATATTGTAATTCCCCGCTTCACGACGCGGGAATTTTAAAAGCGGAGGGCGCGACAGAGGTAACACAACATGTCTGAAACAATCTTCCCTCCCTCCGCCCAGGCCTGCTCATCGCGTACGCGGCCGGCGCCGTGGTGGCGTGGCGCGGCGTGTCGTGGTGCTGCTGCGCCGTGGCCGCCGTGCCGCTGGTGCTGCTCACCTTCTGCTGCCCCGAGAGCCCCGTGTGGCTCGTGCAGACCGGCCAGCTCGAGAAGGCGGAGCGCAGCCTGCGCCGGCTCGCGCCCACCGACTGCAGCAAGGTAAGGAGACAGCCTCCCGCACCCGGCGCGAGCACGTCGCCGTCAAACACCTAGAGAGCGTTTCCTGACTATGTGTTATGGGGCTGTGTCCAGGAGGAGTACGCCGCCCGCGAGCTCCAGGCGCTGGTCCTGACGACCCGTCGGCGCGGAGGTGCTACCGTCTGCGCCGACGGCGTCACCGCCGCGCCTCGCCGCAGCCTCTACACGCGCAGCGTGCACGCCCTCAAGAAGGGCACGACGGCGCTGCTGCGGACCCGCTCCGCCCGCCGCCCGCTCTGGCTGCTCTGCGTCCTCATGCTGCTGCAGCAGTTCAGCGGCTCCTACGTCCTGCTCTTCTACGCCGTCACCTTCTTCCAGGTAAGATGATGATGATGATGATGATGATGATGATGATGATGATGATGATGATGATGATGATGATGATGATGATGATGATGATGGGAACGGCCGTCACTCCTTCAAATTTATATTTTCCCGCCGCGTTGACAACGAACGCGAGTGACCGGGCCCGACGTGACCGCAACGAAAAGTTATGGCCGTTTCGTGGCTGCGGCACAACTTGCGGCACAACTTGCGGCACAACTTGCGGCAGGTGACCTTCGGCCGTGCCTGGTACGACCGGCACGATGAGAGTCTGCTCGGAGAGGTAACGGATTGACCTGGGCATCCCTAAGCAAGGCGCGCCCCACCGCCCCGCCCCGCGGCCGAGGCCCCGCCGACCAAGCCCCATACCCAAGGGGCCGTACACGTTCGTCGTCTGATTTGTTTCTCGCAAATGGTGTGGGTGGGGGTGGGGGTGGGCGGCCGCACCGGGAGCAGGACGACGGATCGTCGTATCAACCCTGACATTTAGCAAATAAAGCGGGTAGAGGAATGAAGAGGAGTAGTAAAAGAAAAACAAATGTCCTAGTTTGCAAAAACTTCTAGTCATGTATTCTAGAGGCTGCGAAAATTATGTTGCTCCGGTTTAGAAAACTTTCGGAAATGTGTGAACGGAAAACATCCAGGCAAAAATTAGCAGAGAGCAAGATTTCACACCACTCTCTTTGCATAAATACTGTAAACCAGACACATGACTTACAAACAGATGGAAATCCAACACAGCGACACAGCAGCCGATAGCAGCACCGCACCAACACGTCGCCATGCGATGCGCCCCGTCGAGCGTCCGGCTCCGGACACCTGTCCGCATGCAAATAAAAGCGGGAAAGAAAGTAATGGAAAAAGGCAGTGACTGCGGCGCGCCGAGGCTGGCGCGGGTGTCTCCGCGGGGGATTCTCGCTCGCCTCGCCTCGCCCCCCCGCGCCGCGCCCGGGCCCACCTCGCTGCTGCCGGGGCCCGGAGTCGCTTCCTGTTTTCCCTGCTGGTATTCCCATAAGCAAACATATGAGGCGCGGTGTGTTGGCGACCGTCCGTAGTGTGACGACATTCCTCGCCGCCGCCGTTGGGAGTCCGGCCGCGCGATCACTCGGCGGCCGCCGTACGTGCGCACACACAGTGTTCGAGAGCTCGATGACGTTCAGGGGACGAACGAAAAGAAACCAAAAGCGCGCTCCGCCCGCGGCCCTGTGCCATGAGGCGTGAGAGGGGGATGGGGACGTCATCTTTTAGTAGAGATGGTTTTGGGGGACACTGTCTGAAAGGAACGCTCGTTCGAACAAACTGTGTGTTCAAGTATTGAACACGCCCAACGTCTGTGGAGCCTGAAAGGTCGGTCGGGTCGGGCCCTCCTCCGCAGAGACAGTAGCCCCAAGCGCGGGACGGTGCCAGAGCCCCGTGCTGCCTTTTTGCCTATCTCTAATGGACTCCTGGACGCCATCGATTTCCCTCTCTGAAACCCTCATAATCCCTTCACCCTTTTTCCTGTACGCCCAGAATCAACATTCAGCCCTTCACCCCCGCCATTCTCGCTTTGTTCCAGGACGTGCAGAGCTCCGTGGACGACTACACGGCGGCGGCGCTGGTGGGGCTGCTGCGGCTGGTCATGGCCGTGGTCACGCTGCCGCTGCTCTCGCGCTTCGGCCGGCGCCAGCTGCTCATCTGGAGCGCGGCCATCATGTGCGCCTCCATGCTCACCTCGGGCTTCTTCAGCCGGCGCTGGCCCGGGGCGGCCGCGGCGGCGGGCTCGGCGGCCGGCGGCGGCGGCGTCGACGACCTGGAGGGCCTCAACCTCGAGGACCTGGGCCACATCGGCGGCGCGCGCTGGGTGCCGCCGCTGTGCGTGCTCGTGTACGTATGCTCGTCGTGCATCGGCGTGCTCAGCGTGCCGTGGATCCTGGCCGCCGAGCTGTTCCCGCAGGAGGTGCGCGGCACGGGGCAGGCCGTCATCCTCTCGCTCGCGCACGTCTTCATGTTCGCCGCGCTGCAGTCGTACCGCGAGCTCAACGCCTGGCTGGGTGAGTACTCGTCAACCACTCGCCCGACAAAACGACACGGAAGGATCCGCGCCGGCGGAAGGCGCCACCCCTGAGCCGCCTGACGCCAGAGCTTTGAGCCTGAGCCTGATCCCGACAGGAACACTATCCAGTTCTAAATCAGAGCACGGCGTAGTTTGAAAGGAAAAGCATGATACAGTACTATGAATTGGTGGGAGACCGCGGGAGGCGGCTGTGCTCCTGCCCACGCGCTTAAGCCCAGGCAACGAGTCCCTGTAAAGTTCAACAGGTATCGCTGGTGTCGCGCTTCAAAGACGAGTACGTAAGAAGTCGAGATTATTCGTTTAATTAGAGTTTCCGAGCGCCCTCTTCCACCTTCCTCTATCGATTATCTTGCGACGCTGGCCGGGATGACGCCCTCGACGATGACGCGGCGCGCGATTCGTGCGGGACCAGCCCAGCCAATCAGTCTGGACGCGCTGGCCGTTTAAAAACACTTTGTCGTCGCCTTTTCTGCGGAAAGTTTCAGGATCGTTTTCTCTCATCGGGCGCCAGGCTGGGGGGCACCGCCGCCGACGCCAATCTCCCACCTTCCCGCCGCGAATTAGGCACTAAATGCCGCCGACATGCTCTCGCTCTTTTGGTGGGAAGATTCCGCGAACTTGACACCCCTCTCCCCTCCACGGCGCGCACCGTACAAAGCTCGTGCGGTGGCGGGGGCGTTCGCTGCCGTGATGTACGGCCCAGCCTCTCCTTACAGCTGCACGAGGTGCTCTCTCTCTCTCTCTCTCTCTCTCTCTCTCTCTCTCTCTCTCTCTCTCTCTCTCTCTCTCTCTCTC